CGCGGGGCCCGGCCGGGAGCCGCCCGTAGACGCCGGCGAGCGAGCGAGGCGGCCGGCGGCAGCAGGTAGGTGCAATCCCCGCTCCTCCCTCCCGCCCGACCCCGCGTGTCCTACGCAGACGGACCTATGGGCAGAGGCACATGGGGGCAGGCGCACACGGCCCCCGAGAGCCGGACACACGCAGAGGGACAAAGGGACACGCACTTGGAATCAGGCACACGCACGCACGCACCGACAGACGGACACGGGCGCAGGGGGACGAGCAGACATGCACACAGATGGGCAGACAGGTAGGGACACACGCTCCCACATTTTACAAGCACAAAGGACAGACCCACCCACCCCCTTTTACTTTGCCCCAGGCAAAGCCCCAGCTCAGGGGTAGGCAACCCCTGGCACAGGTGCCAGAGTGCAGCACGGGAAGGCATTTGGCTTGTCACATGCACCTTGGGCGGACGGCAGGGAAGGGGTTGCACTGTCGTGACACGGATCAGACCCCTTGCAGCTCCCCCGCTGTCTGCCCTTGGCACCCCAACATCTTACAAGCCAAGTTTGTGGGTGTTTTCTGTCCAAAAATGTTGCCAGCTCCTGCCCTAGCTGTTAACCCCGGGAGAGCTGTTCTGCTCCCCCTGCAACCCAGCCCCAAGCCACCTTCCCCGGTATGAAATCCAGTGTCCAAATCTAAACTCTTTGTACAGAGCAGCTCCTCTTGCCCCCACAGCAAACTCTGACTAGGAGGCTTGACTTGAGCAGGGTTCGGGCCGGCATTTAAGGATCACGTTTCGCAGGCGAACCTTCTTGGGATGCACGCCTAGGAAGTGGTCACGTTCTAAACTGTAATCGCTTGAGCCTCTTAATAACCCATGTCAGCAGGATCAACCTGCTGGTGTTGGCAGTGCCTGTGCCTGGGGTTGAGCAACTAGCTGCTCCGTTGACTCGGTTTATATAGCTGCTGTTGAAATCCAGACATCTACGGGCTGTGGCATCAAAGGCAGTGCTGTTTTTATGGTAGTTTGATGCGTACCATAGCCAGAAATACAGCAGGTAGGATCTAACAGAGATGCGCCAAAGCTGCGCTGCCCAACTGCTGGTGCCGTGGACCGGATGAGCTGTGCTGTGTCGGTCCATGAGCTGGATCCAGTCCGTGGGCCTGATCCAGCTGCACTAGTCTTGGAAATTTGGCGGCAAGGGAGCAGTGGCAATTTCTGGACCCATAGAGTCCCACTGGCCAGATGACGTGACCTAACAGGCTGGATCTGGTCTGCCAGCTGGGGGTTGAGTACCCTGCACTAAAGAGAGCAGTATCTTACAGTATGACTCTAAGATGCACTTTGTTCAGTGGCAGACAAGGTTCTTTGGGTAGATGTGATATCTTATTAGAC